ACTACGCGATGAAGTTATCAATATCCTAAAATTAGGCGAATTTAATTTACGACAATGCGCATCTAATTCGCCAGCAGTTTTAGAAGGACTTCCTGATTGCAGCATTAACAAACACTTGCAAGATAAAAACAATACAACATTAAAAACATTAGGTCTATACTGGAACTCTACTGAAGATAAAATTATCTATACCGTCAAACCTATTTCTGTCCCATCTATTGCCACTCAACGAATAATTTTTTCCGAAATTTCGAAGATTTTCGACCCGTTAGGTCTTCTTAATCCAGTGATCGTTCCTCTAAAGTTATTAATTCAAGAAATTAGGAAACTTCGTTTAGATTGGGACGAATCCTTACCACTTGACATATTTTCTAAATGGATAGCAATTGTCAATCAACTTCCGTTACTAAACTCTATATCATTCGAAAGACATGTGTTACACATGGTTCCGATAAATATTCAACTGCACGGCTTTTGCGACGCAAGTCAAAAAGCTTACGGTGCATGCATTTATCTGCGTTTCACTGATCCTCATGGAAATGTGCAAATCAAACTTCTTTGTGCTAAATCCAAGGTTGCTCCATTAAAGAACATTCAAACTATCCCACGGGTAGAATTATCTGCAGCCAAACTATTAGTAAACCTGTATGAATCTGTCAAAACATCAATACCCAATATCGACAGCGTACATTTTTGGACAGACTCAATGATTGTGTTGCATTGGATCAACAAATCACCTAAAGTTCTAAACTTCGTAGCCAATCGTATTTCAGAGATCCAATCAAAAACAAATGCAACACAATGGAAGCATATTCGTACATACAACAATCCAGCCGATTTACTATCTCGTGGTGCAACACCAGAAGAATTTGTAAAAACAAAAATATGGAGAAACGGACCAACGTGGCTAGCCGGGGGAGTGGAAAATTGGCCTGTTCAACCAACAATTTCAAATAGTGAAGAAATCCCCGAATTACGCAAACAAACATGTTTAATTTCTAAACCTGCAGATACAAGCATCGATTTTCATCTTTTATTAAATTACAACGTGTCATTGCTCTTTGCTTGCGATTCAAAAGGCCTAATAAAAACAAAGGATCCCTAAATATATCCGAACTACGTGAAGCATCCACAGTTATACTAAGATTATTACAGCGATCTACATTTTCTAACGAAATTGCAAACCTTCAAAACAATCGACCAATTGGTACCAACAGTCATTTGCTATGTCTTCAATCATTTTTAGACGAAAATGGTATACTTAGAGTTGGCGGTAGACTCAAAAACGCTAACCTGTCATTCAACCAACGACATCCAGTACTTTTACCAAGGTCACATCATGTTACTAAATTAATTATCAAACAGGAACATGTTAATGGTCTTCATTCTGGGATACAGTCAACTCTGGCTAACCTACGTCTAAAATACTGGCCAATTAACGGAAGTAGTCAAGTACGGCACATTATCAGAAAATGTGTCCGTTGCGCTTGCGTCAATCCTGCATCTGTCGATTATATCATGGGAGATCTACCCCCAGTACGAGTTAACAAAGCAAGACCTTTTCTTAACACTGGAATCGATTATTGCGGACCTTTCTTTATTAAAGAAAAAAGATTTCGTAACAGAAACAAATTAAAGGTTTACGTGGCGATCTTCGTTTGCCTTGTGACCAAGGCCGTACATATAGAAGCTGTCAGCGATTTAACCACAGACGGTTTTTTGGCTGCTTTACGACGTTTCGTGTCTAGACGAGGATTATGTCAATCTATATATTCCGACCATGGAACAAATTTCGTTGGTGCCCATAATGAACTGAAGGAATTGGACGAACTGTTCAACTCTGAAAAGCACAACAAAAAAGTAAACAAATTTCTGGCCCATAAAGGAGTCGAGTGGAACTTCATCCCTCCACAGTCACCACATGTCGGCGGTATTTGGGAAGCGGCTGTAAAGTCCTTCAAATACCATCTACACAGAGTCATAGGCTTTGAACTCCTATCATTTGAACAATTAAATATCCTAGTAATAGAAATTGAATCTGTACTTAATCCCCGACCATTAATGACCCTCTCCTCTGATCCAAATGATCTTATAATCATTACTCCTGCCCATTTCTTAATTGGTGATTCTCTTATGAGCCTACCAGAAGAGAACTACCTGGAAACGCCTACAAATCGCCTGTCTTTTTGGCAAACGATCCAGAAAATGAAACAAGACCTATGGGTTCGTTGGCAGAAAGAATATCTTTCTGAATTAACTGTCAGTTCCAAATGGAAAAAGGGAGAACACCCAATCAATATTGGTTCAATTGTCATCGTCCGAGACGACAACATTCCTTCCCTTCAATGGCGACTCGGTAAGGTTGTGCAAACTTATTCTGGTCCTGATGGAGTAATTAGAAATGTGCGCGTTGAAACCGCGAGTGGTGAACTTACGCGTAACGTTAAAAGACTGGCACCATTGCCAGTAGATTTTAATAGTGATAACGAGCAGCGAGTGTTAATAAAGACAATTTAATTTAAATTTTAAGGACTAATTTAGTGGACATACTTAGATATTTCAATATATTTGATCGCACGTCTCTCAACCGGGGGAGTGGTTCAACTTTCGATTGAGTTCAATGGTTACTTAGAAATCTAAATGTATACATTTCAAGATTGCTTTTGTGTTCATCATAAAATCTATTGTAGTGCACTTTCCTTTGTTGAATTTTCGAAGAACTTAGATTTATTAGTTAATTGCCCTTTTTAATGTATTTCTAAACATGTGTTAATATCTAGGTACTAATAGTAGAACCCTTACGGTTTCTGNAGACCCAAGAGAAAACCCAATTGAATTTTATTGGGGTAAATAAGTGTTCGAACGGAAGAACTGAATATTCGTGTGAAACTTGACACAATGGTCAATAAACCTTTTGAATTTCGATGGTCGGCAAACTACAAGTTCCCAAATTTACTGCTGTAAAATGTATCCATTGAAAATACTGAAATAATAATAAAATGACTAATCCACTAGAACTATAAAAATAAATGCCGGAAAATATACAAATACTAAAATGTATAATGCGACTCAACAATTTGTTTAGTGTCCTTTACGAGTATGATTTTCCACTGGGAGTTGGAAACAAGGAGTGGACCCGTGTTATGGAAGTAAACAACTGTTTTGTTGAGGGAAGTAATTTCTATGGCTATTGGTTAGTATCCCGCAACAAGAATGTTTCTTTTAAATGGTTTGATTTGTTCTATATTAATGATGGTATTTCTATTACGTTTTCGCTTACCAATTTCAAAATTTTTGTCTGATAATTATTTCGAAGGGGCCTTCCCAGATGGGGTCACTACTGTCTTTGTTTATTAAAGGATTCTTTACTAAAATTTTATCACCTACCTCGTACTTTGGAAGGGGTTTAATGTTTTCATCATGTCTTTGTTTGGTTTTTTCCTTGTACCTCTTTAAATTACTATGGACTGTCTTCTAACTATATTTAAGATATTGCTAATCTTATTCGCGTACTCGCTTGCTAAAATATTTCTGGATTTTATTTTTTGAAAAGGGTCTCTGTGTTTATTTCCGAACAGTAGTTCATAAGGTGTAAAACCTGTGCCTGAGTGTTGTGCAATGTTATAAGCTAAGGTTGCCAACCGGATTGCTGTTTTCCAATATTTACCATCACAATTTTTCTGTAGCATGTACGAACGATAAGTTTCCTTTAAGCGCGCATAAAACCTCTCTACCACTGCGTTGCATTGGGGGTGATATGTCACGGAAAACGTATGGTCTGTTGTTAACAATTTTTCTATCGTTTTTACAGTTTTATTCTAAAATTCCGTGCCTTGATCCCAATGTAATCCTTCTGGTATTCCGAATGAACTAAAGTATTTTAATAAAATATTCGTAACGTCCTCGGCTGATTTCCCTTTAAGAGGGTACGCTTGTACATATTTAGTTAATTGATCTTGAATGGTAAGAACATGTCGAGTTTGTTAATTAAGCGCGATATCTACTATATCAATGTTCACTTTTTCAAATGGTTTCGATGGTATGGACTTTCGAAACTTCGCCTAACAATTTTTGGCCGTTGACAGACTTCACATGAATTTATAAAATTTCTTACATGTTCTTGCATGTTTTTCCACTTGTAATTTTGTTGGATTTTAATTATCGTTTCATTTATGCCTTTGTGGCCAAGTACTGGACTACTATGGTATTGTAGCGAGCACGAGCGTGTTTGTGTGCGATCGGTCATACGTGTGTGTGAGCAGCTTATCGATTTGCCGACTAGCCGCGGGCGCCTTTCTTCATGTGCGCTGTATCTGTAAACGTGTGTGTCGTACCTGCGTTCCGGGAAAACAATTAAACAGTTCAAAGAAAACGAAACTTTTCCGGACGGCTCAAGAAAGTTCCAGAAAGGACACAAAAGAGTGTATAAAGGAACAGACGATCGCCAAGAGAGTAGAAATAAATTGACTGTTGTAGAAGTGAAAGAGTAGAAATAAATTGACCGTTGCAGAAGTGAATCTAGAAATAAATTGACAGCGCAGTGAATGGTGATATATCAACAGTACAGTGAATAAATAGAATAATTACTTAAGTTGGTAATAACTTAGTAGTGTTTTTAAGTCCTTTAATAATCATTAGTGTAAATAAATAGTTTTTGTCGTTGTGAGTCTTAAAAGTTAATTTGTTAAACCCACGAACATTACAGTATTTTTTTATTAGATCATTTATTTAATGTTGATTTAAAGGATTAAATGCTTTTGTTATTACTTTCAGATTATTTGGTATTTGGTATAATTGTTTTACAAAACTAGCGGTTCACACAAGTTCAGCATTATTGGTATGGTTTAGAATGAAAATATCAGTATCTACTGTCGAATAAGATGTCATTATGGTCGATATATTATTTACTATGTTATCTTTAAGAAGGTAATATTCTAAATTATCATAGTTTCTACTAACATATAGCTTCATGTCATCTACCGGTTCAATATCTACGAAATCTAGTAGTTGTTTATCTGCTTAAATTCTTCATTATTTTCGGCGGTATCCAAGTCTCCTACTAGATCCAAGTCTTTGGCCAACTCTTCGATAGGATAGTCGTCTTTCTTGTTTACCACATTAATTTGGACGCGTGATAATGCATCTGCATTCATATTGAGGGTACCTTTTTTGTAGATGATTTAATAATCAAATTCCTCCAGCTTTAATCGCCAGCGGGTTATTCGACTTCCGGGGTCTTTGATTCTGAATAACCAGGTGAGTGGACGATGGTGGGTTATTATTTTGAATCTTCGTCCAAATAAATAGGGGCGAAAGTGTTTGCAGGCCTAGACTATAGCTAAAAGGTCGCGTTGAATTGTTGAATAGCGAGTTTCTGCGTTGTTTAGGGTACGAGATGCATAGGCTACTGGGAGATCTTTGCCAATCGGCCCTTGTCACAGAATTGCACCAGTTGCAATTCCAGAGACATCTGTGGTTAAGTAGAATGGCTCTTCGAAATCAGGATATTGTAATATCGGTTCGCACGTTAGGCTTTTCTTCAGGATTTCAAAGGACTCTATACACATTGTCCATGACTCGTTGAAAAGTGGACGGTGAATTTTTAAGACCAATAGGCATCCGCAAAAATTTAAAATGTCCTTGCTCGGTGTTAAAAGCTATTTTCTGGATGGATTCCTCTTCAACCTCCATTTGGTGGAACCCTGGGGTCAAGTCCAACGTTGTAAAATAAGCGCTGTGTTCCAAGTTATCAAGGATCTCGGTGATGTTCGGCAAGGAATATTTATCAGAAACGGTCTTTTCATTCAACTTTCTACAGTCAATGACGACTCTCCATTTCTGTTTGCCGGATGCGTCGATTTTTTTAGGAACTACCAAGACTGGGCATGACCACGGGGAAAAACTTGGCCTAATTATCTTTTGATCCAGCATCTTTTTAACTTGAGCAGCTACTCCTGGTTTGTGGATTTTCGGGTATCGGTAGGATTTTACACAGCAGGGTTGTGAATTATTAGTCTCTATCTTATGTTTAATGGAGTTTGTGAATGTTAATAATTTATCGCCATTAATATAGAAAATATCGTAAAATTCTCTACAAATGATTTTAATATGAGTGGCTTCTTCTTCGTTAAAATGATTTATTCGCAATAAGGATTCTACTATTTTCTGCCTCTCTATTTTATAATTTTTATTAACTTCTGAGTTAAAATGAAGTGATTCTGTTTTGTCTATTTGTAATTTTTCGATATCAAGATCGTTAATGTCTAAAGGGGAATTTTTTTTTTGGTCTTTAAATTCACTGACATCATTATTATTTATTTATTATATTACCATTGGAGTCAGTTTTGAGCATGCAATTAGGGATAATGATACCGTCTTTTTTGTACTTATTAATAATGAATTCTTGATCAGGTGTTAAATGTGAATTTAATCTAATTACTTTCTCGCACCTAGGTTCAATGTTAAAGTGATTTTTTTTATAGTTTCTTTTATAAAAAGTGAAAGTTTTTTTTTGAAAATCTAATTTATAGTTATTTTTGCCAATGAAATCCATTCCGGTGATACCATCGGCGACGTTATTGCTATCGGCTACGTGGAATTTGAATAGTATGCCAAATGGTTTTAAATGATATGTTCCTAAACTTAAAATAGGCGAATTTTCTCCTGAAATTCCTATTATTTTCACTCGGTCATTATTATCAATGTCGATTGCTTTCAGACCATACATTCGGCATACAAATTCTTCGATCTTTTTTTGAAGTTGATATATGTTACAGTCGTCTATATTTGCTATATCTGTAAATGCTTTTATGAATGATTCTGATTGTCTTAAAATTTCGAAAGGTTATTTTTTCCCTTTTCTATAGAAAGCGGGATTAAAGTCGCACCATGTGAATGCATTAAATCCTGGCAACGATGCGCACCAGCTAGGTCCTAATGTTTCGTACAGTTGAGTGACATCGATGTAACGTTGTGCATTTCCATGTCAAAATAGCAAATGAATTTTTAGGTTGCTCTGAATATGATTCATATTCCCCAATAGAACCATTAAAATATCTGTATCAGAACATCTTATTACTACGTTATCATCGGTATTCAATTGACAAATGTGGAAAACTATCTTTGTGCCCGCTTCTTCATGAGCTGTACAATTTAAATCCTGCTCTACGCTTCTCTCTATTTTTTCATTATGTTTTTCATATTTGTAGAATACGTCGTGATTAATATATATTGTTCTTTCTCCTATAAACGGCGACATGTAATCATTTTCTCAATCTTGGCAAATAAATTGAATTAAAGCCTCTTTAAAAAGAATATTTTTTAATTCATTGGAGAAATTAGCCGGTCGTAATTGATCAAAACTGTGAATATGATAATTCTGACCCTCTATTCTGCCTCTCAAGGTGTGCTGGTGGTCTTTTATTGATGGAGTTAAGTAGCAATCAAATGCGATAACAATTTAATGTGCATTCGATGATGTAACCATTGTGATTAATTTCTTTGAAATATTTCCAAATGATATTGGAACTTCTGTTATTGAATGTAAACGAAAGAATCCGTCCTAAATCATTACATCACACCATGCTGGAGGACTACTAACTACATTTTTTTCCACGATTTTTAATAATGCTGATTTGTCCGTTTTACAAATTGCTCCATCTAAATGACACATTGCTAGTGGAATTGGTGTTAATGGGTAAGTCAGTATTGCGTCAATATTTAAGGTCTTTTCTAATAAGAGCATTAATAGCTGTGCGAATAGATCACCTTGCATTCGTATTTCCACTAATTTTCCTGAAATGGCTAATTTCTTCTTAGGCATAGCATTTGCAAAAGTTAACACTTTCGTTCTAGGAACTGTTCTTTCAAATCTATGAGGATCTGTAGTATATTCTGTGATGAATTTTTCACAAAGTTCATTCCCTCTTGCTTCTATATTAACCCTTTATTTGCCATACCAAAATCAATAAACGAGAAAAATATAAAATATATTTATTTCATATCAGTAGTGTCTAAAGAAACAATTTTAATGAAAAAATTTTTGTTTTTAGTTTTTCCAAATGAAAAAAAAACAATGTTGCTTACAGGCAACACCAGCAAAATGAGCAATGCTACATAAACGTTTTACTTAGAATGAAATGATAAAAAGCAATTGCGGGTGGGAACAAAACATAGAAACAAACTACATTTCTGGCAATGAACAGATGAATAGCCGTTTTTGCAATGACGGCAACGTCCCTTCTTTCCGAAAGTGGGCCAATGACCACACTGATCCTATCTAACATCTTCCACGGGTACGGGAAAGGACCGGTGTTTTTTTAGACGGAACCATAACTGGTGAATTAGGTCTTCCTCGCTTAGGTGCATTACACGCTATAAGGGCTTCTGCTATGAGAGTTCGAAATTCCTTCAGTGTTAGTGCATCCGTACTGTTTTCCCTTCGATAAACCAGCCATGAATTCGAGACTTGAGTGGCACTCTATTGAGTTCAATTAACATCCCCGCTAAATCGACATCCCCCATATGCTTGTTATACACCTGAACAATTTTGGGACATTTGACGTCTTTTTTTTAGCAGTACTGTTATACTTCTTCACAGTACGCAACGGTTCAACCCCAACGAAGTACCTTGCCAAAGTAACTACTCGGTTGTCGACCCATTTTACAACGATAACTTTGTTAGCTTCATCGTAGCTGAAGTAGTAACTTCCCCTTCCTTCTTTTTCTAAAATGTGATCGCATTTGAGTGGACAATTTTTCAATCTATTTTTGCGCATTGTCCCCAGTGAATGAATGTTCATTTTCTCTTTCAAATACACAAACAATGGAAGCGTTGAAAAAAAATTATCGAAAAATACTCTAGCATGTAGATTTGGTGGTATAGTTTTACAAAGAAGAATAACTACCTGACCACCAACGCTAAACTGTTTTTCTTCGCCATTTAATTCGGTTGCCATTCCTTTGCCTGTATATGGTACAAAGTCGTACACAATACACGATATTCCGCAACAAACAAATATTTTGTAGCCCCACTTATGAGGTTTATTCTGAATATATTGTATATAATTTCCAGCTTTGGTACCGTTATACGGGACCATCATATCATCTACTGAGTGATGAGTTTCCTGGTCTAATTTTCTCCACTGATTACGAACCTCATCTAGGATTAGGCGAATTTTCCTTAAACGGTCTTGAGATCCTACGTTTTCCATGTTATTTGCAAAATGTAGAAAGCGCCGAAGTTTTTGAAAGCGCTGCCGACTCATGACGTCTGCAATCTTATCAAAACGGTAATGTTGACTCCAATAGTCAGTATATGATGGAAACTCGACAACTCCCATGAATTGCTCTATCTCTTTATAATTTGTGTTTATAGATGTACCAGTAATTTGAACCGAATATAAGTTTGTTTGTTCTGTTATTAGTGTTATAACTTCATCAGTAAAATAATAATATAATTTAATACATTTATCCTCTGTATAAAAATCATCGGAGCAGATTTTTTTCCAATGATTTTTTCATACTGTTTCCTTTAGCTCCACCGTTATCGGAGCAGCTAACGCTATGTGTTAGGGGAAAACTATTATTGTTATTATTTTCAACCGGTATAAGACTGGCTCAACTATAGCGCTACCTCCCGGACTAGTAGATGTGGTTCCGCTACTTGATTCCATTTTAATTATGGGTTCTGACTTCACTGAATTAGAAGAATCTTCTGGATCCGAATAATTGTAATTTGAATTTAAGTTCTCCGTGGAGAACCAGGAAGAAAGTGAGGGATACAGCTTGGTATATATGGCTGATTAAACAATAAGGTACCTACAGCAGCGTAATGGTGAAGTAGTTTAGCAACAGGGTGCCGTAGTTAGGTCCTGGAGCTCCTTATCACTTCTGGAAGTATTTCAGTTGACAGACTTGGTGATTCCAATGGATCTGCAGCTCGCTGAGGATGTTGGAATTGTCTCACGGTGTCCTATTGTATACTTTTTATGCGTTGTATTAATTGTATCCCATCCTCGTCGTCAATTTTTGTGGTGAAATTAAAGTTGAGTTTTTTTTAATTTTGTTGTTTTGTTAACTGAACAAATATTGGGCTAGGCCCTTTTATACTAGTTGCCTAATTACCTTAACCTTACTCTACATGAAAGTTGTTCTTTGCAATAGTTACATCTGTAACATATCTATAAATAATAACGTAAATTACTAACTAATTATACAAAAACAACTTAAACTAAAATAATTATCAATAATTAACAATGTTTTACTTAGATATACTAAGATAATAGTTAATACTCGTATTTTATAGGAACTCTCCCAATCACTCTTGTTACACTGTTGACAGTATATTGATCACTGCACACAAATTTTGTACATATCTTGCATTTCGCTGGTACTTTGCTATCGCATTTCTACAGGCAGCTGTTGCAACGTTCACGTTTTGCAGTGGTTGGTGGGACGCGATATTCCAACTCATACACTTGCATCAGACGTTTTTTACCTCCTTAGACTTCAAGTCGTCATTTCTGGTGATGAATAAGTTCAACAGACAATTGCCGCAAGAAATTACGCCTCACGCGAGTACGTGATTTGTCGGTATTTGCTCGATGTACAATGAGTGCATTTATGCCTGAAACATTTATCAGATGGAAGAAAATGGCTAACGGCCATCGTTTGGTTCGCCTGTCTACGTTGAATGTATAATAATACAAATATACAATAATACAAATATAATTCATAATACACATAAAATACATAAAATNTGCGAATAGATCACCTTGCATTCGTATTTCCACTAATTTTCCTGAAATGGCTAATTTCTTCTTAGGCATAGCATTTGCAAAAGTTAACACTTTCGTTCTAGGAACTGTTCTTTCAAATCTATGAGGATCTGTAGTATAATCTGTGCTCTGTCTCACCTGATGCTCTTTTTAATATGAATGATTTTATTTCAAATATTTGCCATACCAAAAGCAATAAACGAGAAAAATATAATAAACATTCATTTCATATCAGTAGTGTGTAAAGAAACAATTTTAGTGAAAAAATTTTTCTTTTTAGTTTTTCTAAATGACAAAAACAATGTTGCTTACAGGCAACACCAGCAACAAGAGCAATGCTACGTAAACATTTTACTTAGAATGAAATGATAAAAAGCAATTGCGGGTGGGAACAAAACATAGAACCAAACTACATTTTTGGCAATGAACAGATGAATAGCCGTTTTTGCAATGACGGCAACGTCTCTTCTTTCCGAAAGTGGGCCAATGATCTTGCACGGGTACGGGAAGGACCAGTGCTTTTTTAGACGGATCTATAACTGATGAATTAGGTCTTCCTCGCTTGAGATCCTACGTTTTCTATGTTATTTACAAAGTGTAGAAAGCGCCGAAGTTTTTGAAATCGCTGCCGACTCATGACGTCTGTAATATTATCAAAACGGTAATATTGACTCCAATAGTCAGTATATGATGGAAACTCGACAACTCCCATGAAAATTAACATTCCTATGAATTGCTCTATCCCTTTATAATTTGTGTTTATAGATGTACCAGTAATTTGAACCGAATATAAATTTGTTCTGTTATTAGTGTTATAACTTCATCAGTAAAAAACCTTTGGAAGCACTTCAGAGGAATAATATTCACTTTATCCTCATCAAAGTTATTTACAACAGCTGTATCATTGTCGAGGACAGGAATATCTCTGCCACTGATGCTCCTGAATTTGAAATTTACCAGTAGATGTTGGCGATGTCCACCGATCGCGTAATTGGTTTATAGGAATTTCATCACTTGAATCCCAATTTTCACCTGAATCCTCAGCTTTATGATCGCTCAAATCAACAGGAATTAGACCATCTCTGCCTAAACCGTGGGTTCCTTCTTTTGGTAGATAAGCCTTTTCTTTCGAACAAGTATTGTTTTCATTATCAGATATATCCGAAATATCAGCATCTGATAAATTTCCGTTAAACGGGGGAAGGAGAATAACTTTCTTTTTACCGTAAAATGTGCCAGCATTAATTGTTGGAAACGAGTCGTTCTCCATGACGAAATCCTTTTTCCCGCCAAAAACTGAGTGTCTATGTAGCCCCTTTTACCAAAGTTGCTTTCAGGCAACACTAAATATCTATACGTATCCGCGAACACTCAAGCGCAATTACTGGCAGCTAATTACGTGGAACGATCCAATACACATATATCCTAAGCGCTAAGTTTATTTCTTCACAGAAAAACTAATTTTTACAATGATAACACGATATTTTTATCACCACGTTCACATAACCTCAACGGTAACACAAACTAGCTTTACAGTATTTCAAGTGCTAATATTCTGTCGTCGCAAAATTCCGGCAATATTCGTGGAATATACTCAAATGGTGTTGCCCAAGAGTAACATTGGCTTCTGGAGCTGCAATAGGCACGAAAAACCGNTAAGACTGGCTCAACTATAGCGCTACCTCCCGGACTAGTAGATGTGGTTCCGCTACTTGATTCCATTTTAATTATGGGTTCTGACTTCACTGAATTAGAAGAATCTTCTGGATCCGAATAATTGTAATTTGAATTTAAGTTCTCCGTGGAGAACCAGGAAGAAAGTGAGGGATACAGCTTGGTATATATGGCTGATTAAACAATAAGGTACCTACAGCAGCGTAATGGTGAAGTAGTTTAGCAACAGGGTGCCGTAGTTAGGTCCTGGAGCTCCTTATCACTTCTGGAAGTATTTCAGTTGACAGACTTGGTGATTCCAATGGATCTGCAGCTCGCTGAGGATGTTGGAATTGTCTCACGGTGTCCTATTGTATACTTTTTATGCGTTGTATTAATTGTATCCCATCCTCGTCGTCAATTTTTGTGGTGAAATTAAAGTTGAGTTTTTTTTAATTTTGTTGTTTTGTTAACTGAACAAATATTGGGCTAGGCCCTTTTATACTAGTTGCCTAATTACCTTAACCTTACTCTACATGAAAGTTGTTCTTTGCAATAGTTACATCTGTAACATATCTATAAATAATAACGTAAATTACTAACTAATTATACAAAAACAACTTAAACTAAAATAATTATCAATAATTAACAATGTTTTACTTAGATATACTAAGATAATAGTTAATACTCGTATTTTATAGGAACTCTCCCAATCACTCTTGTTACACTGTTGACAGTATATTGATCACTGCACACAAATTTTGTACATATCTTGCATTTCGCTGGTACTTTGCTATCGCATTTCTACAGGCAGCTGTTGCAACGTTCACGTTTTGCAGTGGTTGGTGGGACGCGATATTCCAACTCATACACTTGCATCAGACGTTTTTTACCTCCTTAGACTTCAAGTCGTCATTTCTGGTGATGAATAAGTTCAACAGACAATTGCCGCAAGAAATTACGCCTCACGCGAGTACGTGATTTGTCGGTATTTGCTCGATGTACAATGAGTGCATTTATGCCTGAAACATTTATCAGATGGAAGAAAATGGCTAACGGCCATCGTTTGGTTCGCCTGTCTACGTTGAATGTATAATAATACAAATATACAATAATACAAATATAATTCATAATACACAAAAAATACATAAAATAAAAAACTTGTGTTTTCATATTTCGCATCATTTGAAAACCCGAAACTATTCCTTCATCATGTAACAATGATGATTCAATATCTCCAAATCTTTTGGTCACTTCGTGAGCATTAATAGTAAATTTTGAATTATCTGTGAATACGACGTTTTTTTTCAGATGTTTTTCTAGGTGTTTTTTCATCATTTTAGATTATAAAGTTACTTTTGATATGCTAACGGATTTTTCAGCTGACACTCCAGTTGTTATAACAACAAAGGCTTTCACGGCCGGAATCCATAGTAGAATGAAAATTCGGGCTATAGTGCCGTGGTCTAAGTGAACTATTGTGTGGTCCGGAGGTCGGAGATTTGTTGGCTGTCTTGCGAATCAAATAAATCTTGTAGTTAAAAAAGGTTTAGCAGCAGTAACGGATATTGTGTTAAAAGTAAAAAAAATCGCTGAGTTTTATAAATGTAGTACACAAGCTAAATATAAGCTACATGAAACTCAACGTCAGGTGAAAATGCCGGAACTCATGTTGAAACAAGATGTAGAAAGTGTTTGGAACTCAACATACGAAATGTTAAATCGCTTCATCGAAGTTAAACCAGCAGTTGTGGCAGCAACAGCCCTTATAAGAAGTGACCTGCTTATCACACAAGAAGAACTAGAGATAATAGAGCAATTACCTCCTGTTCTAAAATTTTTTTTTGAAATAACAACTGGAGTAGAATGAAAATTCGGGCTATAGTGCCGTGGTTTAAGTGAACTATTGTGTCCAGACGTTTCGTCAGTAACTGCGGCTGACATCCTAGTAGTAGTGCTGCGTTGACAACGTGAACGTAAATTATATCTCGAAGTCTCGGCGAGAGTTGCTGACGAAACGTCTGGACAGAATAGTTCACTTAGACCACGGCTCTATAGCCCGAATGCCTTTTGCTCTAACAATGTGTCCACTTAGATTTTATTAACTTTTCTAGATGCAACACTTAATGTTTGTTTATAGTAACTACACTTAGCTTTTTTCGGTTCAACTTCACTAAAATGGTTCCATATGATGAATTCAACTGTTTCTATACCGATAGTTGGTACAGCCATAAAAATTAACTATACGTGTAAATATTATATTTGCTGTTTTCGAAGTAGCCCAAATCGTGGAGTCGCCCAATCTGGAAATTCTGCGCTAGATATACTTAAAAGTAGCCTAATTTTTGGAAAATCACCCAATCTGACAACCCTAACTATAAAATGTCTATTTTACAAATTAAATTAATTACAAATACGTATAAGTACATTGAAGAATAGTTCTGAAACAGTGTCCACGTCCACATCCTGAGATAGTTTTTCAGTTTACTTCAAAATAAAGGAATATTAACTCTAGATATAGCAATTGCAACATTTTATATTTGCGGTGGATGTAATTACTTGGCTATTAATCAGGACATGTTTACAAACGTCTGAGAAATGTTAGCAAGTTGATGCGGCAGTGCGTGGAACAATGGTTCTTAAAAGAAAATGCAAAAGTCCAATAATATAGATTATATTTAGGATGAACAAAAAAAAAACAGATTACAGTTTGAAGGCAAACTTACAACTACGCCTACAAAATAACTTAAGAAGGCATCGAAGCTGGAGCACGAATAACATAAAGAAACTAATCCGTCGAACCGAGACAAAACATAAACACATGCTCTAGCGTCTAGCAAATCTCACAAATCATTCATACATTAAATTTTTCAAGTACCCTATGAAGCAGCTAAAAGATTGAATACACAACAACTTTGGGGACACTGATTTTTGTAGTAGCCTTGTTGTTTATAGCCCCAACACCACGGAAGTTTTTTCGTTTTCCTTGCAGCAAATGCACCGTCACTGTTTTGTTTACTGTTTTGCCATTTTGTGTCTTGTAGTAGTAGTAGATCTGCTAAATTATGGGAATTTAAAGGATTAAACATTACATATTTAGTGAAAGAATCTATAGCTGTAAGATATTTCTTTCCGCTAACAGTAAAAGTATCAATATACACGGTTTCGAAAGGTAATTTTGAAGTAGGGGTCAAATTTAATTTGTATTTGACAGGATGACGTTCATATTTCGCCTGCTGACAAATACTACATCTATCTACAAATTTCCTGCATGTTCCAATAATATCTGGCCAATAATAATAACGTGAAATTTCGTTGTTTAATTCTTCAGCTCCTCTATGATCTGGACTGTGTATTTGTGTTAAAATTTGTTGTTGTACGCGATCCTCTGTAATATCTTTTAATACGGTGTTTGTATAGACAAATCTTATCGATCCGTCAAAATTTTGGTTAACTAGGTACGCTAATTCTTCATAGAATGGTTTATTTTTACATGTAATTGCATTTGTTACTTTTGGATTTATATATTGATGTAGAACGTTAATTATTTCGTTTTCGTAATTTTGGTAACTAATTTGGACTAAATGTCGCGTTTTGTTAAACAATTGGATTTGCCTAATAGCGGGTTTATATGAAAAGGAGATTACAAATTGATTCTTATAAAAATTAATTGGTTTTTCTGTAATTGGTAATTCTGCATTTGTGTTTTCTGTTTGTGAGTGTTGTGTTACAGTTTCATCGTTCTGTTTAGTGTTGTCGACGTTATCAATATTATCAGTGGTTGTGAATGTTGATGGGATAGATGGTTTATCGGGTGGCTTTATTTGTATATCAGTAAGGATTTTAATTTTCTTTTCTTTAGGAATTTCGGTCTTCGTAGGAG